CTGAGGAGCGTCTGGCCGCTGTCTTCGTCGACCGTGACGTGCAGGCTCGGGTCCTCGCGGAGGAGCATGGCGAGGGACTCGTGGATGCGCTTCTCCTCGCTGAGGCTGTGGGGCTCGACGCTGGCGAAGAACACGGGCGGAGGAACCTTGATGGGTCGGAGTTGAAGAGTGTCGAGCGGTTCCGGGGGTGTCTGTCGGTTGGTGGCGTAGGAGACCAGCGTGTCGCCCGTCCGGGCGTGTTTGAGTCCCACGACCACGCCGATGTGGCCCTCGGGGATGGAGTCGACCTCGACGGCGTCGTTGGCGTACATCTTCAGCAGGCGGGGAGCCCGCTCGGTGACCTTCAGGTTGGTGTTGTACAGCGCGCAGCTGCGATCGAGTCGTCCCGAGTAGACACGCACGTAGACCAGCACTCCGCGCTTGGCGTCGTTGACCACCTTGAAGGCTAGGGCACAGCCTTGGAGCTTCTCGATGGCGTTCCGGGATTCGGTCTGCACGACCGACTTCTTCTTCTTCGCCTGGGCCTTGGCTGAGGAGGCCGCCACCTTCTGTTCCACGATGAGGTCGCCGGACAGCAAGCGTCGCAGGCCGCCCGTGACGCCCCCAATGCTGACTTCGGGATCCGGGGTCTCGACCGGACTGGGCAGGAGATTCACGACGGCGTCGAGGAGAGGTTGAACACCGACATTGCGGAAACTGGCGCCGGCGAACACGGGGATGATCTTCCTGCCCTGCTCCTGGAGAAGGCATCGACGCAAGCTTTGCAGGATCTCGTTGGCAGGCACAGCAAGGTGATCTTCATCGTGCTCGAAGAATTGCTCAACCATGAGCTCATCGTACTCACTGAGCAGCTCGACGAGAGCAGTCCTTGCCCGTTTGAGTTCCTGAGCCAGCCGAGCCTCCTCGGCCTCCAACTGCTGCAGGTTGAGCATCTTGACTGATTTGCCATCTCCGTCCTCCCACCGGAGACCTTGAAGATTGATCACATCAGCCACACCGACAAAACGACCGTCCCCGCCTTCGAACCACGGAATCTGACAGACAGCCGGCCACCCTGCCAGCCGGGATGCGACCTCCCGGACCGTCCGGCCGAACGCTGCGCCATCTCGATCTAGCTTGTTGATGTAGACAATCCTGGGAATGCGGTAGGTGCTGGCTTGGTGCCAGACCTTCTCCGTTTGAGCCTCAACACCGGCCACACCATCGAGGATACACACTGCGCCGTCCAAGATGCGCAGGGAGCGCAGAACTTCGAATGTGAAGTCGGCATGCCCTGGCGTGTCAATCAGATTTACAATGTGTGAATGAGCAGAGCGAGGGACTTGCAGGTCCGACTGGTTCGCCTCCCCGGCTGCTGTTTGGGGTGGCCAATGGAAAGTGATAGCCGCAGACTGAATGGTGATTCCACGCGCCCGCTCAGCGGGCAGAAAGTCGGTCACCGTGGAGCCCTCATCCACGTCTCCAATTCTTCGGGTGAAGCCACTGTAGTAGAGCATGCGCTCTGTGGTCGTGGTCTTGCCCGCATCGATGTGGGCAATGATACCGATATTTCTCGTTCGGTCAAGATTATCCTCTTGCCTTCGCAAGGCAGAGCTTGAGAATTTCTGGAGCTGAGGAAAACATGATTTCCGGGTGCATTGCATCACATGGTTTCCCAAGCGACTGGTCAATGCTTGCCCCTGTTGTAGAGCAATTGGCCGCGCCGCCGGGTGAGAGGCGCGCAACAGAAGTGCTGCAACCATCAGGGACGGTGCTTGCCCACAGAGCGCTTGTCAATCTGAGTGGAGTTATAGACTATTAAACCATGACTCTGTAGATAGGGCCAAGCAAGGTGCTCAGTCTGAGCTGTTTTGGACCAACAATGGCTAAGAAGGAGGACAATGTAGAGGTCAAAGCAATTAATCGATCAAGAAGTAAAAGGAAATAATGGATAAGTTAAAGTATTGAAGCTCGGAGCGGATCCAGTGACCCGTTGATGCCTGGTTGATCAGGCCGACTAGTTACGTACCGTCACATCCTCAATCAATCAATTACTCCCCCATCGCTTCCTCCGTTGTCCCCTTCTTCCCCCCCACATCTATCTGACACAATTGCCCTCTCCAACTCCTGTTATCCCCCCAAACTCTCTCCAGTACCCCTGGAGTCTTTACTGGTATGTTGCATTAGTCAATCGCAGGTTCACATTCCATAGTATAGTCTGATGCTGATTGATGTCTGCCTGGCTCACAGCGCGGTGTAGACGTTGTCGCATCAATTCCTCCCCTCCCCTCAGACAGCCACGATGGACTACTCCGCCATCTCGCACGATCCCGACCATCCTGCAGGCACCTCGCCCTGGGCCTCGCCCCGACCAACGCAAACTACTTTTGCTGCGACGAGCGATATCCCCTCGTCTCCATTACCCCCGCAAGAGCATTCCCCCTACGGCGCCGATAGGGAGCCGCAGCCTGCCGACGGGTCGGGCGCCAGAGAAGATGGATTCGGCTCCCAGAACAACTTGTCTGGCGAACTGCAAAACACCCACCTTGGTGGTCCCAATGCTGGAGAGCAACCGTCGCATGGTGCCCAACAGCAACAGCCCCAGGCTCAGCACCCCCGATCTCAGATCCCGGCTCGTTACCAAACCGGACCCAGACAGAATGCCAGGCCCCCTGCCCCGGCTTATAGAATACAGGCGAAGATTACTGGGCTAGAGCGAACTGGCAAGAAGGATCCTATCCTGCGCTTCGACGTCCACGTGAGTTGGTCCTTGGTTCCGTTCCACCTGCGCATGCTGACCACAACTTCTAGACCAATGTCCCCAAATTTAGAACCACCCAATACCGTGATGTTCGACGCACCCATAGCGAGTTTGTGAAGCTCGCCGATCACCTTATCTCCGCCAACCCCGAGACCTTCGTACCCGCCGTACCATCCCCATTGACTCCGGCCGGGGCCGGAACCGAAGAAGATGAAAATCGGGTTAAAGCCTCGATGCAGCGGTGGCTGAATGTGGTTCTGAGCAATGAGGTATTAATTCACGACGACGAAGTGATCCTGTTTGTGGAGAGCGATTTTGGCTACAGTCCTGTGGTGCGCATGAAGCAACCCGCCACCGGTGTCCGGAGGAAGGTCTTGAAGCAATTCGCACCCCCTCCGGACGACACCCCGGAACTACAGAATGCCCGACCTACTGTCAAAATGTTCTATCTGGGTGCTATGGATGCCAGCCACAAGGTTGATCGCGTGGTTAAGGGTCGTAGAGGTATGTTTCAAGGATACGCAATACTGAAGAATGCCCAGTGCTAATTGATGTGCAGGCTTGGGTCTTGCTGAATCCGACTTCGGCGTCAAGCTGGGCCAGATGCACGTGCAGGAGACGCACCCGGGACTAGCCAACGCTTATCGAAAGCTGGGAAAGATCATTCAGACGGTCGGAGATTTCCATGCTGTTCAGGCGACCGCGGAAGCTACCACCCTTGGAGATCCCCTTAGCTACCATTCCTCGGACGCCTTTATTGTCAAAGAAACTCTTACGAACCGTCATATCCTGCTGCGAGAGTTGATTCAAGCTCAACAAGCTACTCGCAGCAAACGTGCTGCCGCCGACCGGCTCAAGGTCAGCTCCTCTGTGCGCCCCGACAAAGTTGATGAGGCTATCAACGCGTTGGATGAGGCGCAGAGCCACGAGGACTTCTTGACCAAGAGGACTCAGCGCGTCACGTCGAATCTGCTGCTGGAGAAACAGCGCTGGTTTGAGCGAACATCCAGTGACCTGCTCGCTAGCTTGCGCGAGTATACTCTACGTCAAATTGAGTCGGAGCGCCGCACCCTGGCCACCCTCGAGAGTGTTCGACCCGATATTCGGGCAATTGATGCCTCTGGAGGACTAAGTCGTCTGGGCCGTGAATCTCATCCTGCTGCCCGACGATCGAATTTAGGCTCGAGCCAAGGCCCCAAGGGCGACGCATGGAGCGGAATCCCTCGTCGCAGCGATAGTCTTGGACGTAGCATGAGCGGCAGCTTTGTTGCACCTCCCCTGGATGACGACGAAGAAACGAATGGCAGTGGAAGTGCCAAGGGTCGATTGCGCTCGGCCAGCGGGGTGAGTTCGATCGCTGAGGAGGACGACGAGGACCGGTTGGACGCGCGCAATGCGGCGAGTCGCCTAGCCACGAGTACCTTTTAGTAACTCATTGTAAATTATGGGCATATTTGTATGCGAGATTCCCCTTTGACCATGATTTTCTTCTGTTCCTGTCCTCTGTCGCAGCATGTTTGTATGATGATTTGAGTATGCAACTATTGTTCCCCCCCCCCCTTTCATGTTTCTGTGATTTCTGTGTAAATTTTCAATCAGTTATTCTGCTGTGGCGCATTGAACCCATTGAGTTGGCAACGATTGTTGTTTTCTTTCCCCTGTCAAAGTCACGTCAATCAGCCCCGCCTTTGCATCGGCTACAACGTCATTCAGGAGAGGGGCAAATCTCCCTCATGGTCTCCTGACAGTAGGATTGGCAGTGGAAACTGGAAGATGAGCTGCTGTCACACAGCTCAAGTTGGTCGAGAAGGTGGTCGCGCCCCAGAGCAAGCACTCAATACTATGTACAATGGAACAATGGGCCCAGGGACGTTCTTTTGAGTTCTTCCCACCCCATTCCCACCCCCACTCTTGCTGAGGCGCTGATTGCGCTGATTGCGCTGTACGTAGTAACTAACTCTGACCTCAAACCTCATCCACTCTTGATTTCCAAGCATCGGAACTCCATAGACTTCCGCACTGCCCGCGGAGCTTAAGCTGTAATTGGGGTAAATTTTGTCAGTCCGTCTGTCTGTCTGCTGTATTTCCCCTCCACTCCCCCCCACCTACTCATGATATAAAGTAATCCTCCCCCTCCCCGTCCTCACGATCTCTCGATCTTCCTTTCACTGTCTTCATTCAACAAACGAGAAGAAACTCGCATCATACCACCAGCACAGAACACAATCAAAAGCACAACCTTCTTTTACTGAAGCACAACATGGCTCCCATCAAGGCTTTCGTGTAGGTCTTCCCACTCTCTTCCTTACGCATAATAGCCTCTGACCAGCTGATTGCCTTCCACAGTACTGGCGCCACCGGTTACATTGGTGGAGACGTCTTTTACAATGTCCACCAGGCACATCCTGACTGGGAATACGCGGTGTTGGTTCGCAGCAAGGAGAAGGCAGAGAAGCTCTCCAGCGAATATCCCAAGGTTCGCGTCGTGTTGGGAGACCTAGATTCCGCGGATATCATCGAGGAGGAGGTCAAGAAAGCCGACATTGTTTTCCGTACGTCCCCCTCCGTGCAGCCCTTCTCCCAAATTACGAACTAACTTGCTTGGGTCAGACACTGCCGACTGCGACCACGTTGCGTCTGCTGAGGCCATCGCCAAGGGTGCTACCCACCACACCCCGGAGCGCCCCTTGTGGTGGATTCACACCTCTGGAACCGGTATCCTAACAGTCGAGGACTTCCGTGCCAACACCTGGGGTCGGTACCGCGAAAAGGAGCACGACGACTGGGATGGCGTGGATGAGCTCCTCAACCTGCCTTCTGACTCTCTTCATCGCAATGTCGATGAGATTGTCATTGGCGCTGGCAAGCGCGACCCCAACAGCGTCAAGATTGCTATCATCTGCCCGCCTACAATCTACGGCCCTGGCCGTGGTCCCGGCAACCAGAAGAGTGTGCAGGCTTACTGGCTGGCATCTGCTGTCTTGAAGCGGAAGAAGGGCTTCTTGGTGAACGAGGGCAAGAACATCTGGCACCAGATCCACGTGCAAGACCTGAGCGACCTGTACCGGCTGTTGGGAGACGCTGCTGCTGCGGGTGGCGGCAATGCCACCTGGAACGACAAGGGTTACTACCTGGCTGAGAATGGCACCTTCGTCTGGGGAGACATCTCGCGGGAGGTGGCCAAGGTCGCTTATGAGAAGAAGCTGATCTCGTCTCCTGACGTGGAGTCTATCTCCGACGACCAGGTGAAGGAATTGAACCAGTTCGGTCTCTATGCCTGGGGCAGCAACTCCCGTGGCCACTCTTACAGAGGCAGGAAGCTGCTCGGATGGTCTCCTCACCGGCCTAGCCTGAAGGAGCTTATTCCTGAAATCGTCGATATTGAGGCCAAGGCGTTGGGCTTGCTGTAAATCGCAAACCAGAGATTGTCGTGTAAAACGGAGCTGATTTGATGAATGAAATGACTATCCCTCTCCAGAGCCGTTTGTTGTAGGTTCATATGTAAAGAACAATGTTTATGGTTCCATTAGAAGCATGTGTTAGCAAAGTCAATTGAGGCGGAGCGCGGAATACGGTAAGCGATATAGACGCGCTACCCGCCCAGCCGCCGCTTTGTTCCATTGCGAACCCGTCCGATGCCATCACCTTCGCCGATCCAAGCAAACGGACCTTGAAACTTCTCCCCAGGTGTCTGCTTATCCATTTTGAGCCCCCGCATGAGTCTTCCACAGCAGGTTGTCGCCCATCTCCCTATATGCATCAAAAACTGACCTTTTGATTGCAATCATCCCAATTCTTAGCCCATTGAGGAAGCTGACCGTCTCCAATCTAGGTCCGCCGCATGCACTGCGACCTGTCCGGAACTCATTTGTTCTCTCCCTCAGCCCTCTAGCTTCGATCGGCCCTGTCATGGCTCCAGGTGCCGGAGGAAAGAGAAAAAGAGGCGATCGATCGTGGTCTGGCGATTCCGGGAACGACGGTTCACGACCATCCCCCCATCGACCAGGTAATCTCAATATGGCGCAACACAATCACGGCCCGCAGTCTCGCGACTACGACTCGCGTGGCCGCGGACGGAGGCCTCCCGGCCGAGGAAGAGGGGGTAATATGAATATGGGTCGACGTCCCAGTGGCGATAGCCAGAACTTCCCTGGCGGTCGGAGGGACACGGCCATGTCCCCGCCCAGCAGCGCGCCCGCGAAAGATGTGCCTGAATCAAATCAGATTAACAGAACTTCTGCGAATGCCGATGAGAACAAACCTCCTCCATCACCTTCGCCTGTAATTCCATCGGCCCAGTCACAGCCGCAACCTCAGACGCAGACCCAACAGTCACCCGCGCCAACGCCCGCTCCTGCGCCTCCAATGCAAGTATCAAGTGCTCCCGTGCAGCCTCCTCCCGGCCCACCACAACCGTACGACTACGAGTACGTTACACAATCAGTGATCGATCACTGGGCCGCCTCTGGTAGAAAGGAGATCGTGGAGAAGGGTATCCAAGCGAAAAACACGCAAGATGCGTCTGGTCTGGCGTCCGTATACCAGGAGCTTATCCGCTCAGTCCTGTACGGCCGACTACCACCAGACCACGCGGGCTCAGCAGTTAGAGACATCATTGGCGATGATGTTACTGTGGAGAACGTCGACATGAACGGGGAGCAATCGACTTCAAGCACCCTTGACACGCAATCTCTTTTTCTAGACACCCTGTCCATTCTGACCGATTCCGACACGTCAAACAATGCCCTGAGACCGCTTGTTTACTCCACTGGCATCAACCCAGCTCTTATGCGCGTGCAGCTCGACACGCAACTCCTTCAATCGCTCGGACTCGTCCGCGAAACCTTTACCCGTATGGGCATTCGCAAGCAGACCAACCTCTTGTACCGACAGTCAAACTACAATCTTCTACGCGAGGAATCTGAAGGTTATTCTAAGCTTTTAACCGAACTTTTTACGACAAGTAACAATGAGCCTCCATCCAGTGAAGTGGTGGAAGACACCTTCGAAAAGGTGAAGGCGATGATCGGTGCTTTCGACATGGATGTTGGCCGTGTACTCGACGTCACTCTTGATGTCTTCGCAGCGGTCCTGGTGAAACAGTATCGCTTCTTCGTCAAACTCTTGCGAGCTAGTTCATGGTGGCCGAAAGAGGACAACTTCCGCAATATGGAAGGTGGAAACCGCGATTCTGGTCTTCCCAGGTGGGCTCTACCTGGATCGACTGGGTGGGCGACTACAGATGAAGAGCGAGCCGACATCATGGTTGCGAACGAACAGCGCGATCGCGACTTTTGGAACCGGGTGAGAGAGATTGGGATTCGGGCTTTCTTTGAGATTGGCCGACGACCTGTTACTCAGGAAGAGGTACAGCGGATACTTCCTGAAAGCAATAGTCTTTCTGAGGAAGAAAAGTCAATGCGAAAGTGGATCGAGGAGACAGGCACATTGCCCCCTAAAGGTAGTCGAGTCGCGGCTCAGCTTCTCGGTTTCAAGTTACGCTTCTACTCTTCCAAGGCTCGCTCAAAGTCAGACGTTCTTCCAGATAATCTCATCTACCTGGCAGCTCTGCTGATTAAAGTGGGCTTTATCTCCCTGCGCGACCTATATCCCCATCTTTGGAGACCAGATGACTCAATGGATACATTAAAGGAGGAAAAGCTCAAGGAGAAGGCTGAGAGAGAGAGAGCTGCACGTCCGGGAGGTGGTGTCAATGCTTTGATGATGGCCGGTGCCCTATCGGATGACACTCTCCCCATGCCTCGCATTCGTGAATCCGAGCCCCGGTCTGCCACTCCCGGAAAGGAACAAGAAGCGGACAAGGCTGCCGCTGCGAAGGCAGAAGAGGAGGAGCTGCCGGAACCGTCAGACCAGAAGGTTATGCTATTGAAAAGTCTACTGGCAATCGGCGCCCTTCCAGAGTCTTTGTTCATCCTCAGCAAATTCCCTTGGCTCATGGACGTCTATCCGGAGCTCCCGGAATTCATTCACCGTATTCTTCATCACTGTATTAGCAAGGTCTATGCTTCGTTGCGTCCCCTACCCTCTGCTGAGGGGCTCAACGAACAGAAGCAAATCCCGAGCCAAGATCAGGCAGGCCTGGCAAAGGGTCAGATTCGTCTGGCTCAAGCACCACCACGGCGCGTCCTGCGATGGGCACAGCTAGACAAGGAGGATACCAACGACGGAACCGACTATCGCTTCTACTGGGATGACTGGGCTGACAATGTTCCCATTTGCCAGTCGGTTGATGACGTTTTCGCGCTCTGCTCTTCATTCCTCAATCTGACAGGCCATAAGATTGGTCAGGACTCTACTCTGCTCTCGAAACTTGCGCGAATCGGGAAGGATAGCCTCAGCAAAGACGATTCCCCCGAGAATAGGGCGCGTTGGCAGGATCTTTGCAAGAGGCTTCTGGTTCCGTCCATCAGTCTTACAAAAGCTAATCCTGGAGTTGTGAATGAAGTCTTCGATCTCGTCAGCTTATTCTCCAGAGAGACCCGTTACAACATGTACGCGGAGTGGAACTCAGGACAAACGTCTCGACTACCGGACCTCAAAGCCGCCTTCGACCAAGCAAGAGCCGAGACAAAAGACGTCCTTAAGCGACTGAGCAAGACAAACATTCGTCCAATGGCTCGTGCCTTGGCCAAGATTGCTTATGCGAACCCTGGAATTGTCATCAATGTCGCCATCAACCAGATCGAATCTTACGAGAATCTCATCGAAGTTGTTGTGGAATGCGCACGCTACTTCACTTACCTTGGATATGATATTTTGACCTGGGCTCTGATCAGTTCTCTTGGCCAGAAGGGTCGAAGCCGTGTACAAGAAAGTGGTCTATTGACTAGTCGATGGTTGAACGCCTTGTCCACCTTTGCAGGGAGAACCTTCAAAAGATATTCTGTCATGGACCCGGCTCCTTTGCTGCAATACGTCGTTGAGCAGCTGCGGCAAGGTAATTCAACGGATCTCATCGTCTTGGAGCAATTGATCAGTTCCATGGCAGGCATTATCACAGACACCAATTTCAACGAGGCACAAATCCAGGCCATGGCCGGTGGCGAGGTCCTTCAGGCTCAAACTATCCTTCAGCTGCTAGACAAACGTCACGAATCCAAAATGACCTCGAGACGACTCATGAAATCTTTGACAGTATCTAAACTCGCTGGTCAACTACTTATTGCTATTGCTCAAGAGCGCCTGACATGTATCTTCAAGGAAACCGAGGGCGCTTCGGAGCTGAAGCTGCTGGGTAACATTTTTGACGAGATTCATCGCATTCTGACCCAGTACCTCGATCTTCTTCGCAGCAATCTCACTGTCGAGGAGTTTGATTCTTTCCTCCCCGATTTGGCATCCCTCATCGGTGAGTATGGCATTCAACCCGAGGTGGCCTTTTGGATTCGAAGGCCAAGTATCGCGCTAAAGATTGCGAATATGGAAAAGGAAGGGCAGGATGAGGATGCGGGGGCAGCTCATCGGGTTTCAGAGGACAACCGTCAGCTCAAGATTGAGGGTGATAAGATGGATACAGGAGAAGATGGAGAGACAACCCCTGCTGCAGTGGAGCCATCGGCGGAGCGCACTATGGAAGTGGACCAGGAGAAGCCCGAGACTGCAGATAATGCACAGGGCAATGTTGAAACAACCACTGCCATCCTCGCACCCGCTGAAGCGCCCTCTCTCAATCCAGTCATTCAAGACCTCCACGATCAAATTAGGGCGGCCCTACCTACTGAAACCTGGGGTACTGTCGGTCTTCATTTCTACGTCACCTTCTGGCAACTGTCACTTTACGATGTTCACATTCCGCAGAAAGCTTACGAAGATGAAATTGATCGCCTGAAACGTAAAGTCATCGCGATCAATAATGACCGTTCCGACATCAGCATGGCTGGCACGCAAAGGAAGGAGCGTGAGAAGAAGCAACTGACGCAACTGCAGGATCGGATCCTAGAGGAGAACAAAGCTCATCTAAAGGCCTATGGTCAAACAAGGACGAAACTGCAGAAAGAGAAAGACCGATGGTTTGTGGGCATGCGCGGCAAGCACGATGCTCTCAACGTTGCTCTGTTGGAGCAGTGTTTCTTGCCTCGTTTGCTCTTATCATCCGTTGATGCGTTCTATTGTTTCAAGATGCTCAAGTTTCTTCATACAACGGGTGCCCCCAATTTCCGGACAGTCGGCCTTTTAGATCAGCTTTTCAAGGAGCAACGGTTGACAGCCTTGATTTTTCAGTGTACATCCAAGGAGGCGGACAATCTTGGTCGATTCCTGAACGAGGTCATCCGCGATCTCAGTCGTTGGCATGCAGACAAGACGGTTTATGAGAAGGAAGCCTTCGGAAACAAGAAAGATCTTCCAGGTTTCGCCATGAATGTTGACCTCGAAGGAAAACCCACCACTT